TAATTGAAATGTTTGGAGGAGGCTTATTGTTCACAAGTCAGGAAAACAAAGGGTTAAAAAGCAAAAGGGCAAAGATGCTTAGCATGTAAGTGAAGAATTAATAATCCTGAATGCAACACCCACTGTATATTRTTCTTTTTTTAGCCATGGGATACTTCTGACTCTGAGCAGTGGTTTTTCTATAGCTGGTTAAGGAGCTTTAAAATATATTTTTTTTAACAAACTGACCTCTGCAATGATGATAAGTTTTCTATGTGAAGCTGTATACCTACAGGAGAGGAAACAGTTACTGTAACTTTATAACCAGTATCCATGGTGTTGGGTTTTCAGTGTGCTAACTCCACTCGGGACAAACCTTGAGCAGGTAGTCAGGTGGGAATTTTTGAGAAGAAGTAGAGCCCCAGGCAAAAACACACTGTCCTGCTGAACCTTGCTGGTAGGGGCAAGGATTTGTTGCTGATTTCTATTTGCAGCATGGTAGCTCTCATCTTGAGCTGTGTGTGGATGCACAAGGAAAAGTCAGTTCTGGTTTCATGAAGCTTAAACCTCAAAAAAATCGCTACAGTTGTTTTTTTGTACCACAGCATCTGTCCAACCCCTAACCCTTGATCCATARGGAAGAGGCAAGGGAGGCTTTCCTGCTAGCAGCTAGGAATGTAGCCTCTAACAAATGCTCCAAGAGGAAGGCAGTATAAGACAGGTAAGGGAGAATGAAATGCAGCATCTCCTGGGGAAAAAAACGAGTCTCATGCACTTTCCTGTAYAGTTTTCAATATAGTCAGGAGCTTCAGGATTAAATGAATCCTTTCTCTTCCCTGAAAGAATTGTTGTTCTGCAACSCCAGAATTTTCCTGTAAGCAAATCCCAGACTTATTCAAGGAAGTTGAAATTTATTTTAGAATTTACTTGSAGATATTTGAATGCTCTAAGGTATTTGTTTCTGGCTTGATTTACAAGTTCAGGTTCATATTGCCTGTATTKGTTATTTTTGTGGGACATTTTCCTAGCAAAAGTTAGCAAGATCGAGATACTGCTAGCTTATCACTACCATGTGTTGGAAAACTCCTCAGTGTCCTGCAGTTGCCATGTTTGCCAGGGCCATCACTTGCACTGACACTTGTGCTGCTTTTGTTTCATCTTGTTCTTTACAGTTGTTTTCCCMTTCTGTCTTGCATCTGCATGTGAAATGTGAAACTGTTGATCTTCCTACAGTTTTCTGTTTTGATAAAAATACAAATTCTATTTGTCTAGGGAAATGCAGGGAGCCCCAGCCTTTACTCATTCTTCTCTGCCTTTTGGCCTTTMAGATTGGTCCCCTGCTGAAGGCTGTGAGCTTGGACAGAGGATGTCCTTCAGTCTGCACTTCCACCAGCCTGGCTCTGCTGCTGGCAACTGGCAGGGGTTAAATTAAGGATGCAGAGGTGTCATAGGATATTTTCAGAAGTGATGCTTTTCTATCACAGCAATCTTGTCTACTAATGGAAATTACTATTTCTACAAAAAAGAATCTTAACAAAAACATTCACTAGCCATGTAGAAAAAAAACACCTCTTTGCATGCAGAAAATCCTGACCATGAAGTTATTGAGTTATATGGAGGCAGTGCCTTGGCAGTGTCTGGTAGCTTGTCCTGAAGTGTGGCCACTGCTGTGGGCTTCAGAGAATTCACTGGGATTCCCAAAGGGGCAATTAGTAGAATAACCTGCTGGTACAGAGGTTCTGTTTCCCCATGCATTTCTCCATGGCTTTGCCTCTCTTCAACCTAAGACTTTCCTGTCTTCTGCTAACTGGATGTTAGTTGGTTTGAGTCAGATTTGTATCCAGTTTATTTRTTTTACATTCCACAGAACCCCTGGCCAAACCAATACTTTGCAACAGTTACATTTCATTAATTGTTCGYTGTTGTTTTTTGATAAAGGTAGTATTTCCTTTCCTCAGGTTAAGCGTGCTGCTCTTTTAATTGCACTGATAGGATGATGGTTGTTTCTGTGTTTATCTCTGCCCATTATTTTTGCATATTCATGTTTTGCTTGTTAGTTGAGGTCGCTCTTAAGAGATGAACTGTTCATAATGATGGCACTTATTTAAGTTGATGTTGTTAATTTAAACCCTAAAAATACAGGAGCGTATTATGGATCATTCTTTCTGTTGTGCATTACCATACATTTGTGAAATGTGTATTTCACCTGCTGCCATGTTCTCTCTTTATTTATTGGGGTGGATTTTGGTTTTCTGGGGCATTCATAAGCTCTTCCAGCTGCATCTGTAGGAACTCAGCTGAGTACTGCACTTTCTGTCAGCTCCTGCCTTGCTGGTCACCTYGTGATCATCTCCCATTTGGCTTTGATAGAACTTCCAGGTTTTAATCCTATTTTATTAGGATTACTGTTTGCTTGCCTAAATATGTTGTGATTGTTAATTGTGTGGTTAAAACTTCCACACCTGGTCTGAGGGCCAGCTGTATATGTCCTGTTTTAGGAAAGGAGAAAAAGCTGGAATATTTTGATCTTACTAATTAGTACATTCCACACTGATTTTTAGCTTAGTTTGTTGTAGAAGGCAGCAAAGGAACCCTTTGCTTTGACTCTTTCTGAAACATAAATAACTTCTACTAAGGAGGTGTTTCTATTTTCGCAATTCCTGTTTTCATGGAGTAATATTTTATTCCAGTTACCATTTTGGCACTCCKGGCTGAGTGATGATACGCTTTTACTGTTGCATGGACAGATGGAGAAGGGAAATCAGAAGAAATGGCTGAGCCTTTAATTAGCTGTGCAGAGCCAGAGCCTGTTTTTCCAGTGCATTGGGGGTTTTATATAGGGTGTGGAGACTCAGCCGCTCGATGGATCCAAATTAGCAAAATTGCGTATCCGCCACCAGGGTGTTTCTATGGTAACTGTCTCTCAAATCATATATACAAAYAGACCTGGCAGGGGGTATTGCCTTCTATTTGGTCTGTAGGAAACCATCAAAAAAGGGGCATTTTCAGGCTGAAAAACGGTTTTGAAATGTAAATGTTTTTTTACTTTTGGTGATTGGTATAAGTTTTGGGATCAGTGCTTGGTGCTGGCACAATTCTGAGTGTTTGTGGTTTTTTTCACATTGCCTGGCTGCTGTTACTCCCTTTAGGTGTGAGAGTGCAGGAAACTTACTSGGGGCTGTGAATGCACTGTTCCCAGGTGTGTGCATGTAATTAATAACCCATCTAGAGCTGCACACACACACCACATACTACGTGTTTTTATGGTGRGAGACCAGATCATATATTTGTTTCTTTTCCCCTCATTCTTCTTCATAAAACAGGAGAAATCTGGAGGGTCTTCTCTCACCAGTGTACCTGGAATTTAAGGGAAATTATGAACCTGATGAAATTAGTAGTGTAAGACCAGCCAAAGTGGCTGTGACTCTTCACCCAAGTGACTCTATAAAGTCTCTCTGCATGTTACTTTTTCTAGTGGAAAAAAATGAATGAATGATCTCTTTAGCCTACTGCCCTCTTTTTGAAATGTGGGGCAATTATTGTTATTTTTTTGTCATCCAAAGTCAGGCACTGCTAAAGCATGTGTCATTTCAAATCAGGGGTTGTTATTTCTTGGCCAACAGTTCTGTATGCGCTCCCTTGTGTTTTGAGTCAGATAAAGGAGAGCTTGCAARAGGCCTATACTAAATAATATTTTTCACCTACAAATATCTTGGATGTTTGGTGAGTGCCAAGGTGTGTAACAAAATCTGTCTGGAATAATTCCTAAACCTGCCTAGTAGCTCCAATTGATATTGCCTCCCTTTGAGTTGGACTGGGCTTATGGAATATACCCAGAAATCTTTGTAAAGGTAACCCTTGAAATACCTGAATGCACAACTTTTCTCATTGCAGGGGCTTATACATCTCTTCAGTAAAAACTGTGTATTATGCATAAATTACAGGACTGATGGAAATGTACTTTAACCTGTAGAATGCAAAAAACATGTTGGTTTTTGTTTTCTCTTTTTTCTAATCGKGCATTTGCGGAAAGCTCAGTGTGATTTATTACTTTCTTTTTAATGAATTGTTAAAAATGTTTGAAAAGGCATTAAATCTTCCTTTCTGCTATTAATCTGTAAAAGGGGAAGGGGATTTTAAATGGCCTCTTAGTATATTGCTTTAAAAAACTGCTGATTCGAGCAGGACCGGAATAGGAATACATACTAATGTAGGAAACACTGAAGGCAGTCAGAGCCTCCTCCATTATGGAAAAAAAGACTAATAGCTCCATTTTAACAAGGCTCTTAACACTTTGGGCCATCAGCAGGCATTGAGTGAGTGAAATTGGGAGGGCTCCTGTGTGCTAAAAGCATTGAAGTTCACCGTTTGGTACCGGTTGGAGCCTTCCTGATAGAATTGTGCTCCCTAGTCAAGGCCAGTTGCCATCTTGAACRCAAACCAAGCAGCGCTGGCATTTTGACTGAGTGCACTAATGCTGCACTTTTGTAATGGCACCAGAGCATCTCCCAGCTGGATACATGGCTTTGCAGTGGCGTTAGGGAAAGTTTCTGGATTCGTGTAAAGCATGAAAGAAAACCTGTTTTATCATATTTTATACTTAAGCAAAACATGCTAGTGGAGGGGAAAAAAAGCAGACATGCTACTAAAGATTTTAGCTTTGATTCAAGAACTTATGTCACTGTAATCAGACAGGTATGTTTTGTTAGATGATGTCCTCATGTTACTGAATTCCAAGAGAAAGTCCAGCCAGGGAAGAAGAGAGAGTATCCCAGTTAGTAGGCAGACGAAGAAAAGACTCTGATGACTGTACCTGCTCTAAACACTTCTTTGATACAGAAACCTTTCTTGTTAGCAGTGATAAGATTATGGGATTTAGAGCTTCTTTGAGCCCCTGCCTTTCCTTTGTTGATTTTGGCACGTTGCAGCATCATGTGTTCTGTGCTTACCGTTTTGAGATGCATTGTTAGTAGCTGGGCTGCATAATTGATCTTCATCTCTAATTACTCTYCTCTCCACAGGTGCCTGGAAAAGTTCCAGATGGGAGCTCGTACAGTCTTCACTTCGAGGGGGTGGAAAGGCAGTATGCATCCTTACCCAGGTACAGCACCCACTCTGACTCACCCTCCTTCCACCGCGTGGGGAAAGCAGCTCCACGCTGCTGTCTGGCTCTACCAAGAGATTATCCTGCACTTTCSTCTTGTCAGCTTTTGCTGCTGATTTACTGCCATTTGATAAGTGCACTATTAATTTGGACTTTTGAGTTTTTAAAAACAGGTCTCTCATTGAACGTGTCAGCAAGAGTMATGATCCACAGGTATAGAATGTAGCATTGAGGGAGCTGGTTCTGCAAGCATGATAACAGGTCATAGCAGGACATAAATGACTGAGTTTGTAGTGATATAATCCTAGCTGGCATTGGCAGAGTGTTGCTGTGGAAATCTTCCACTACAGCAGCCACAGCTGCTGAAGTCCCACTGTTGCTGCAAGGGCTGTCTGACTGCAGTCCTAATCCAGTRGAGCATCCCTGTGCTTTAACTGAATGCTCTGGAAATGTGAGTGAATTCTCTGAGGGCTTTTTTTTAATTTTTAATCCTTATCAACTCAATGAAGAGTAATTCTAGTCTGAAACCACTGGGGCATAACAAAAAGGAAGCATTTCAGAGATTTCAGCCCCATTTCTATGGGAGTTCTAATAGCAGAATGTAACATAAATCAAGCTAGAAAGGGGAGTGAGAAGGTGCTAGAAGAGATAGTGGGAAACAGTGAGAAGAAAATAAAAATAGAAAAATATTCTCCCTTTAGAAACAGAGGACTGGGCAAGTCTTCAGAGGAATGGTCCAATCCACATCTTGGACCTACAAGCAGGCTAATTTGTAAAAGCAAAGCAAAAAATAGGTATTTATAAGCAAGAAGAGATTTCTTTTGTTGTGAAGTAGTGCTGGCMTTTAGGAAATCAGTGGGTTGTTTCTTTTTGCTGCTTTTTCTTTTTCCACTCAGCTATTTACATTCAAAGGTGTCACTGAAAGATTGATTGATAAATATGTAATGCTGTGTCCAATTCCAGATGAAAACACAGAGAATATCTTACTGTTGGAAACTAGAATATAAAAGCTGTCTCACAAGACATTGTTGGATGTCTGTGGGCTTTTTTAATGTATGTGGTTTCTAAACCAAAGAATGTGTCTGCAGTTCACTTACTGCCTTCAAATTACATTTGTCAGCCATTTTTTCTTGGAGATTCATCCTGGGCAGTAACTGATCTTCCAGCAGTGTCTTGTATGTATTTCCTGGCTGACTGTGGATATTATTCTTCTTCTGGGTAAATAGCCATCATTTTTCCCAGTCCTCCAATACTCATGTTTTCCCATCATGTTTTTAGCAGTGATTTTTGCATGTCAGTTAAGTGTACTTTAATTATGCRCACTTCTTTTTTATTTTTTTTTAACTCCCATTTTGCTGAGTACTTCTTTGTGAATTACAAGMGTAACTTCATAATTGGTGCCCAGTGTAACTCTATACAGCAATTTTTATTTYTGTGTATCATATCTTCTTTTATTCATTTTCCCTTTAAGAAAGCTACCCATAAATTTTCAAGCCTTGTAAACTGAAAATTTCCCAGTGAAGTAACTTCCATCACACCCAGAATTGTTTTGATTCCACCAGTATTCCTGCCAAGGGAGAATGACCAGAAGTGAGCACTATATGGTAGACATGCCTTTCCTTTATGTAGTAAGTGTTCTCTGTATCCCTTCTGTCCTGTTCCTTTCCAAACTGCTACATCCTCAGCACGTTCCCTATGTGTGTATCCTGTTCATCTCTACAGCCTCTTTTTTTGTGGGCTTTGTTTGTTTGGGTTTTGGTTTTTTTGTTTTGTTTTTTTTAAGTAGCTTGATCTCAATCAGATCATGAATTTTACAGTCTTCTTCCCCAAACCTCCATTTAAGTTCCTGGAGACACAATTCTCCATCTCTTAGCACAGGTTTGAGTAGTTAACTGGCTGGAACTCTCCATTTAGAAAATCACCCAAATATTCCTTAAGCTTTTGAAGATCACTGTGAAAGTGTCCTTCCTCTCTGCCTAAGGAGATTATGCTGGAGAGTGAGAAGCCCTGCACTTCAGCATGGCTTTTTGTATTTCCCAACCCAAACACTGGTGCTGCTGCACACAAGCCAAGCCGTGTCTGCAGAGGGTTTCCACCCTGGCAGGAGCTTTGGGATATCACACCCTTGGGTGTGCCTACAGTTCAGCAATCGGCCTCTGCTTTTTTTGCCTGAGTTTTGTAAGTTTTGCAGTTTCATGTTACTGCAGTAATTAAGCGCTGGCAGTCACAAATAACGAGAATGTACAGTGAAGTCTAAATCCAGACGAAGGGGATGCAGTCTCATTGCCAACCACTAATGGAAATGAGTGATTTCTTTTGTTCTCATGGCTGACTGCCCAGGAGTATAGAGGAATCCAGGTAAAAACCACCCATTTGCCAACCTATTCTCGGTGGAGGATCCATAAAAACTGCTGTAATGAGCAGCATTATTTAAAAGAAAAAAAAAAAAACAGGAAAAAAATTAGAGAAAGAAACAGGAATGTAGAAAGAAATTTTGAGGTAGTATTTCCTCAAAAGAGTAGCTTTCTTCTCGCCAGCATTTTAGTATTAGTTCACAGTTTCCTGCCCTTAGGTTTATTCCATTTCTTTTGTGCTGTTCTCACCGTGGTGAAACCACTGAGCCACGTTTGGTACAAATGCCATATGGAACTGTCTGCATACTTAGCCCTTTAAGCCCAGTTTAATAAGAGATACTTACAGAGGCTTCAGATGAGGATTGTAGATGCTGGGAAACAAATTCTTATTGCAATACTGTGTTGAGTCCAGGAGGATRTGACCTTTGCCTGCCACTCTGGTGTGGCACACACAAGGAAGGAGAGGAGAGCGCTTGGACTGCAGCCAGTTTCACAGGATGGGTAGGGAGGAGGGGATCTGTGTCGTCTCAAGAGTAGCTGGGACCTACACAATGAAACTGTTCTGCTCACCTGAAAGTCAGGAGGACTCATGCCAGTGTGTGTGGGCATGGACAAATTAAGTAAGAGAGCTTTGGTCTTCCCACCAGGCAAGAAGAAGGAATGTTCGCCTGCCAAATATCTTTATGAGTGTTTGATGCCCCCAAGACACTGTCCCATTCCTCTGCAAAGGCATGCATCCTGCATGAAGTCAGATCTGAGCATACCTGCTGCTGGCTTGCAAAATTCTAAGCTTTAAAACATCATTGTGGTTTTGTTTTTTTTCCTGTGTTTCTCTGAAGCTGTTAATTTAAGGCTAGATGTTAAGGGCCAAATTCAGGTGATACAAGTCTGTATTCACYGAATTTGAGGAATTCAGCTGTCAAGTGTGCTTGTCTTTTCAGTGGGTGAAGCAGCAAATTCACTGTCCTGGTCTCACTGAAGTCAGTGATGTCCTTATTGCCTTTGAGTGGGGGATCTGTTCCTGTGTAAGGTTATGTGTTTAATTAAAAGGGGAAAACAGGAGGCAGCAGCCTTTGGAGAAAGGCTTTCTGTGTGTTTGCTCTAAAGAGTGGTGAGCCAAGCTAATAGTTAAATTTCTAGGTAAAATAATGCCAGCCTGTAGGCTTTCTTCGGAAATGTCTACAGAGGCAAACATCTGAATTAAATGATAAGTGGCTGTGGCAGGAGAGTGGCAGGTCTTCATCTCTCCCTGCACTGTGCTGCTCTGTCTGCAGAAAAGCAGCAAAGTGGGAGAGACAGAATGGAAGTSTTTGCAAGAGAGATACAGTTCTTTGCACTCAATACTTACGTGTTGCCCTGAGGCTACGGCTAAGTAGTGTCGAGTAGTAGTTATGTAGCAATGTTAAATCCTCCTGCTTAGGAGGAGAATGGCTTGATTCTTATACCTYTTATTCTCTTCTTTTGGGAAGAAGAGCAGGGCAAGATTATGGKCGCCAGAAAAACATTTGTGTCTGTGAAACTATTTTTAATGCCTACTTTCTTGGTGTAATCCAGAATATTTTCCYGATGGAGCTACGGAACAGATATGAAGCTGAAGCTGCTCTGTTTGTTCATAGTTCTATTTTTGAGCTTGCTTTTATGGAAGTCTGTGTTAATGTAAATCACAGTCTTGCTAATGTCAGCCTTGTTTGGAGAAGCCTCATGTTCAAGGACACGTTCTTTTCTGTGGTGTTGGAAAAGCTGGCTGTGACCAAAAGCAAGCTGACAGACACGAAGACGGCACAGCACRCTGGTTGGCATGATGAGTGTGGATTAGAAAGCTCAGCCATCTTTCCAATAAGAAATGCTGATTCCAATGGAAAAGTCATACTTCAGACTTTCTCTGGAATCCTCACGTTACTGAAAAACACATTTATGTTAAGAAAAGGGGGAGGGCCTAAAAGGCTGTAAGAGCATCAGAAAATAACTGCTCGCATGRAAAAATGAGTTCAGGCTGTGCAGATGGGTTCAGCTGTATTGCTGTGGCTGGGACGAGGCTGCTGAGCAAACTGGTAACTRGCTCACAAGCATGTCTGTCTGAAATGTAATGTGCATCTTGAAACTGGGAAACTGGGGAATGTATTAAGGAACTAGCCCTGCTGTACAGTGGCAGTAGATGGTCTTGCCATGCTGAAAGCTTCTCTTCAGACTGACCATGCAACTTGCACTTCTTAGGGCAGCTAAAAGCAGCCTGCTCTCCATTTCTAGGCATGATGCCAGAAAGGAAAATTTTGATCACCTTGCCTGAGCCCTCCAGGACTTTCTACATTTCTTCATCAAACTAAATTTCAATTTTGATCCATCCCATTACTTTTGCAAATGTATTTATAAAAGCATCTAACCTGGAATTAGAATGTTCCATTGTGGAGAATTCATTACATTCTTCAGAGTTTAATTATTGTACTGCTTAAAGTCATTATACCTTTTTTTCCCCCCCTCAAAGTCCGACATTACCCAATTTCAGTTTCTAGATACTATGTCAATTTTTTTTTTCTATTAGATTGTAGGAGCCAAACCTGCAAAATGCYTTCACCGTGGTATTTCTATGCAGAGATCATTTATGTTATGTTTTCACCTCCCTTTCAGTAAATGAGATTGAGCACT